CTCTTCCCCCACGGTGTGATGTCAGTTCACCGGAGTCACGTGGAGGCTTCTGCTCTGTGAAGCCTGCCTTCAGGTCAGGCCAGCATGTTGGCGTGAGTTGCCGTTGCAGATGGCTCTCCCCTGGAGTCTAGCTATGGTTGTCAGTTTTTGTTGAGCCTTCACACCTGGCCCCCTATTGTTTTCCAACCTGATCCCGAAGAAGTGAGCAGTCCTGTGGCCATAGCTGCCCAGGAAAGATAGGTTTTGCATGTAGTTAGATAACAGCCTGAAATGGAGAGGGGGAGGGGGTGCCCGACCCTGCATCTCAGAGGTCGCCTGAAGTGCGGCTCAGGGTGGTGGGGGTGAGGTGGTGTTGACTGGGTATACTGGTGCTGTGTGTGGAAAAGGCGAGCAAACTCGGGGATCCGACCATCTTTCCCCTGATTTGGTTACGTCCTTCCCTCTTTACAGCCTCTTAAAGATGGCTTTAGGTCTGGGGTACTGGGTATGGAAAACAAGTCATTTTACTAGTTTTCTGCCATTAGGAAATCACAAGCCACCTGAGGCACTGGCTCCAGCTCTGGGGAAGTATTCGTTTCCTCTGAAGATGATCAGGGCACGTTAACCCTGGGATCTAATGACTTCCCTGGAAATGCTGGCACCCTGGCTCTTTGAGTACAGACAGTTCAGGAAAACCACCTGGAAGAGCCAGCTGTACGTACTGAGAGGACAGTCACAGCTGTCACGTCCTCCGCCAGCTCGCCTTCGGGCGGATGCTACAAAGTGTCCCTTTACACGCTTTAAAGCAGCCACAAAAGTAGACAGCCGCCTTTTGCCCTGGGTAAAGGTGGGTCTTGGAGCAGCTATACAGGGTGTGTTGCAAGGCTCGCTCTTGTTCCTAAACCAGGAACAGCATCTCTGGCTGAGGCAGTGCAGTCTCACGGGTACCCTGGCAGGCACCTGGTATTTGAGTTTAATAACCTCCACACCACACCACATTTTGCACGTATTGTTATTAAATCTGTTTCATATCTACTAGAAGCCCCTCTCAACCCCACTCAGAGTTTCTCTCCCCACCCCCACCCCCCATTGGAGGTCATTGTAGGAGGGTTCATGTTTACACAGTTAAGGTAGAGTCCATGAGAGGCCCAGAAACATGTTAGGGCCCTTTGGCATCTTAGGCTAAATGTAACTGAAATAAGCCCAGATTTTCATCAGAGTCATCTTGGTGATGGGTTCTGTTTTTTTAATCTGTTCCAAACTCAATCCAATGGTCCAAACTCTGCAGGCACAGTCCTGGTCTGACTCTTGAAGCTGGCCTCCCATGTCCTCCTGACCTGTCTTTTTTGTTTCCTTCTTCAACCGTTACTTCTGATTTGGGAAAATGGCTTTTCCTAAGCCTCCGTGTGGTGTATGCCATCAGTTGTGTTGAAGAAAGCTTCAGACACAGCCACGGCAGGGCTGCTGAGCTAACAGCAGCACCCTCCGGGCTCTGGAGGAGTCTTGGAAAACCTCTCCTCCGGTCAGGAGCAGTGGAGGGTCTGTGTCCCTGAGCCTCTACTCCTCCGTGGTGATGGAATTCCCTCCCTCTGTGGCTCCAGAGCCCACCTCCAACAAACTCCAGAATCTGAGATAGCTTGAACATGAACCTGCAACCCTGGCATGATTTTATTCTTCGTATTCTTGTTTTCTTCACCATTTTGTCTACTATTTTTAAAGATGGTTGTACTGTGTATATTTGAATAGGTTGTATATATACTGTACCTACAATAAAATAGGCCGTGCTTTAGCCTTAAACTTAAGAACCTGGGGATATTGTAGATATATGTAATATATACATGTATGTATGTATTTAAATCAGCCTTAAATTCTTTTTGAAACAACTTGGGACAAACCTACACAAAGACATCTTTGTACAGTTATTTCATATTTTTCATTTTTGTTTTCAGAAGCCGTGTTCTGCTGACAATATTGTTCTCTTGCTCCTGAATCAGTCTGTCTGTCCTCCTGTCAGCTTTTTTACCTTCTGCCCCAGGACAAATTAAATCCCACCCGCAAGCCTCAAACAAGGCCAACATTGAGGCCAGTCCACCTCTCAAAGCTCATAGAGATAAGTAGCTGGAATTGCTTCCTTAGGGAATAGAAGATTAAATGGGTATTCACTTGGGGAGAAACACACGTACTGTAGGCCTTTTACTACGTTAGCACCGCCTAAGGGTGCGGTCTGGTGGCCTGCTCCCCGCCCGTCCTGCTGGTCCGAACTGAATGAAGACCAGCAGGATGAGCTCATCCGAAGCATCGAGTTGGCCCTCACCTCACAAGACATCGCAGAAGTCACGCAGACCCTCCTAAACTTGGCTGAATTCATGGAACACAGTGACAAGGTGAGACGTGTCCCCATCCTCTAGATCAGCGGTTCTCAACCTGTGGGTCGCAACCCCTTTGGGGGGTCAAACAACCCTTTCACAGGGGTCACCCGATTCATAACAATAGCAAAATTACAGTGATGAAGTAGCAACGAAAATAATCATGATTGGTGGGGGGCGGGGGGTCACCACAACACGAGGAACTGTATGAAAGGGCCGCGGCATTGGGGAGGTTGAGATCCACTGCTCTAGATGGAGGCTGGTGGGTAACCAGCTGGGGGGAGGGGAGAGACATCCACACAGCCCTCTTCTGTTGGTGCCCCATCTGCCATTTTCCTGTGTGTGAGGTTCTGCCTCTCCTCTAGGGCCCACTGCCATTGAGAGACGACAATGGCATTGTCTTGCTGGGTGAGAGAGCTGCTAAGTGCCGAGCATATGCCAAAGCACTACACTACAAAGAGCTGGAGTTCCAGAAGGGCCCCACCCCCGCCATTCTGGAGTCTCTCATCAGGTAGGCCGT